AAACCCCCTTTAGAAATAGGGAACCCCAGATACCACCCCCCTTCAAGTGAATAAGTACGGGGTACTCAGTACCCCTTGTTACTCATTACCACAAACCATTATGAAAGTAAATCAAAATACCCACACCATAACAATCACAAGACCATTATTTAAAAAAAAAAAGGAAAGAAAATGGCAGACTTCTGGCTGACCAAATACAGACAGTTTGCTTGTTCCTGAACAGGCTGTGTTTTTTTCAAACTCATGTTCAGCGGTATCAGACAAGCTAAAGTTGGCACAGTCAAAACAAAGTGATTTAACAATGTTTCCAATAATCTAGTTGTGTAAGGTGCATAATGAAAGCACTAAATATCTTTGCAGCCAATTATTGCCTCTCCTATAGCGAAATATGGGTTTCTCTAACTCCCAAGCTGTGGCTAAAGCTGAGACTTGCAGCCAGACCAAACGTTAGTCATCTGTACACCCAGGGGTTTGCCCGTGATGGGGTGGTTTGTGATTTAGTTGCTCTCCGTGCACGTCCAAGGGGAGGGATATGGGGTGTGGCGGTAGCGGCTCGTGGTGCACATTGCAGGGGGCGCATCGTGGTGCATGTCATCCCGCCCGCCTCCTGGCAACCAGTGATGTCAGTGTGCTGGCCTCGAAAGGAGGCAGCAAGTACACCTGCCGCCTTCCCCCACCATGTGACCCAATTGAGATGTCACTTAAGGCAACTGCCTCTGGCTGCCTTATTATAGGGACCTGTATAAACCTATATAGTAACTGCTGATATTGCAGTTTTCTGCATGCCTCAAAAATACAGACAATTGTGATGCCTCGTCCCAAGCTTTGTGCTATTTCTGAGCATTCTGTACCCTATGCCACAACTCATTTATGAACGGAAGATAAGACAGTATATAATGATGGGGCAAGAGTCTGCAGTCCTAAAAATATGTCTGCCTTCTGAATATGTAAACCTACTTTACGGTAAACTGAGTGGACTTGAGTATAGTGCCATTTTTTCCTAGATAGCCATGGTAGTTTACTGATTGACTTGAGGTTATTCTGTTCCCTATAATTTAGGATTTACTATCTATGTTATACTTATAAAATATCTTACTATCTATGTTGACTTATTAACATTTTAATATCTATTGCTGAAGCAAGAACAGTCAAACCTCTAAAAGGGTTAATGCTAGGCAATAATCTGATGACACATCAGCTTTGCCAACCTACTGCGCTTCTCTGTTCTCCCCTCTAATAGGATCTGAAGGGATAAGTCTCCGGAAATCATATCCATGAGGCAGCCAGTAGTGATGAATGGAGCAGAACACAAACATGTAATGCAATAGGCTAGCACACTGGCCCTGATAAGCTTTTAGATGCCCATAAACAGAACCGTGTTAAGTGCTATATATCCATTAAGGTGGGAATATATCAATTTCCCCATTACTAGATCTAAGCACACTAATAGAATGCATTTCCATCAATTACTTCAATATGCCACATGCTGTACTTTTCCTGTATAGTCATCTTGAGGATTTGCGTTTCCGAAGAGAAATGAGACTGTAAAATATCATCTACAAAGCGTATTTAAGATGGATGTAATATGATGCATTTTATTTGCAGCTGAAACATGTTTGTTTTTTATTGTCGGCCACTTCTGCTAAGTATTAAGAATTGGTCTAAAGTGGGTGTTGCCATGCGATAAAGGACTGTAAGCAATTAAATAGAATACTTGAATGTAACTATGGGACTGGGTTTAATGAGATGCTCTGGTATATGAAGTACACTAGTATATATTAGTGCAGTCAACCAAACAAGAGTTTGACAAGAGTGGGGAAACAGTGATATTTTATGATGCCACAACTGTCTACGGAGTGCCATCTTGAAAAAAGATCTGCAAGGGATACAGAGAAGGATATATTTTATTAAACTAGGGTAGAGAAAATATGAGCAGGCCACACCAGCAGAACACAGAAACAGAAAAAGCATTCTGGCAAATACTACAACTGTCGGTATGACGCCCCCCCCCCCCTTAATTGTAAGAAACATTTACTGAACCAGATAATGCCATAAGCTAGACTGGAAACAAAGTATTCAACGTATTTATTAAGGAAATAAACCAGTGTTTATAAACCCATTCTTATCTGGCAAGCCTCATCTATGAGGCCCCATATTTGAAGCTTGCAGGAAAAGAAATAATGAAACACTGAACAGAGATCTATTCTGATGAGTAGAGGGTATATATAGTGCCAATGGTGAGGTAGGGTGCTCATCATGGGTGCCACCATGTGTGATAACACTGCCCTAATAAGGAAGTATTATACTTTCTCACCAATTAGCCCCAAATTAGAAAGTATTTTTCCTTTTAAGGGTACTGACATCACAGGAGTGGGGATTCTGACCCCATAACTTCCTGTGGTCTTCAAAGTGGCATCCCTACTGGAGTGTTGCCTTCTTGGTTTGGTGCTTTGTTTCACACCATACCGATTTAGAGCTCCCTGCACACTGCTCCAATTAACAGCGCTGCTCTGGGAGCTAGAGTGGTGTTGAGAGTGCCGTGCGCAGGGTGAGTATTGGACCACAGAAGGTGTGAATACATTACAGTACATATGAGACCTCAATTTTCATTCAACAGAACAGTTCAAAGTTGTATTAAACTCTCAAAACATTTTTCAATAATACATTGAAATCAAACAAATATACATTGCCCAGCGAAGTATTTCTTTATATTGCCCAAACATGTACAGATATACATCGCTCAGTGAAGTATTTCTTTATATTGCCCAAGGACGTACAGATATACATTGCCCAGCGAAGTATTTCTTAATATTGCCCAAACATATACAGATATACATCGCCCAGTGAAGTATTTCTTTATATTGCCCAAGGACGTACAGATATACATTGTCCAGCAAAGTATTTCTTCATATTGCCCAAGCACTCACAGTCAACATGTTTCTAAACAGCTCCAACTCTTTTAGCTTAGCTTTCCTGAATTTCCTGCCCAGTACAAGATCACAAGGGACAGTGCTGCATCCAGCAGGAGTGCAGGGAGGAGTAGGGGGCAGGGGAATGGCTTGTACTGATGTGCCTGTGTGTTTGAGAGTACAAACACACCTTACTATCACACACAAGGGTAGCTCCGTAGGACCCTGGAAGGGAAAGGAGCCACGCTAAAAGAGGATATCGTGGCCAGTGTTAGGGACCAGCTGATTCTAAACTTTTTAAACATTTTTAAACATCAAGGAGCAGTATCCATTGTAAGTGATTTAATCAGCATTTGACATAGCTTTAGAAACCTTTTGAATTTATGATCACTTTAAAGATTATAACTGACATGTTTCTATACGTTAGCTGAACTGTGCACAGTATTCTCTCTCACGGTATAATTGTATATAGCACAAAAAAAAAATACATTAAAAATATTTTGGTAAAGATCCACATACTCTGCTTTTTTGCGCTTGTGGTATGACCGCCTCCATGGGTTCCTCCATGTTTTCCTCTTTGCTAGAGATAGGTCTGGGAGAAAAGCTGCCAAGGAACCTTCTATCTGGTCAGGCTTCCCGCACAAAGCGTGTTCCGTTGAGCAGTAGTAAGAACATTCTCCATAGAAACAAATGTTGTTGGCTGTAAGAAAACAAAACTAACATTATTTTCATTGAAGATAAATTCACAGAACATACATGTGGTATGAAGTTTATTTGTTTATTATCATATATTGTTTCCTTAAAGTAGATCTAAACCCTAACTGGTTTAGACTGTGTTTGCTAAATAACTTTGTATCATAAAAATATGCAATTTGTTTCATAAAATTTCTTTTTTTGCATCTCAGTTCTGCCCTTCCCTGTCTACATGCACTTGCTTCAGTAATGTCTGCACATTGTTAGGATCTGTATCGACAGAGTTTTGTTTATGTCAGAACTGCTTCTTTCCTCACACAGATCAATGGGAATCCAAAAGCAGCTTTCAGCAGGTCAAATGCAGGTCAGCAATGCATAGGAGTGAATGGACCCTTAAGGAGGAAGGGGCTACTTCCAAGGCATGTCTGCACTAAGTGTTTGCAGTGCTATATAGCTATATAATGAGCTCAGACTCAAGTTAGGGATCACACTTTCAAGAGGTAGCATGGCAGTGTGGCTTCACATATCTTTGCAAATGCATACAACTAAGACCTTAGTTGCTTTCTCAGAAAACTCTTAAGTTCTGTTATGGGTTCTAAAGCCTGGAGGCCTTGTAGAGCTTTGGGTGGGATGAGGCCTCCATTCCTGGGTATCGTAGCTGGTAGCCATACCTCATTATTAGTCTTAGCTGTCCACAGGTCTGTATTTATGTGAACTGAGTGATGCTTAGGGCTCTCTCTCTCGCTCAATCTGGTGTGGGTGCATGCTGCTGGGTAAAAAGGCTGAGTGCTCACACAACACAGTAGGGTGCCCATTAGGGGGCACCCTACTAAGCAGAAACAGACATGAGTTTGGTTAGTGG